TATAAACGGCCTCAGAGCCTAAATCCATTCGGAAAGAGTATATATGTATTCTTTCTCGCGTTTAACCCATTGCCTGGCATAATCCTCGACCGAATCCATCAGTATTTAGAAGTTGTGTTTCCAATTGATGGATTTAGGCTCACGATAAAAATCACCTCCAGTTTTTGGTGGGTTCGTGTTGCTCAGTCTTTGGTTTTCTAAGCTAAGACTGAGCAACACGAACCCACCAAAAACTGGAGGTGATTTTATGTGTTCCGGAAGGGTAAGCAGATCCTGTTCCACATGTGGCACCTGTCATGTTGCTTATGTTAGGACAAACGCGGTGATAAGTCTAATTCGGTAGGTCACATTGGGGAAAGGTGACGGGATTGTAGTTACGACAATTTGAACATATCCGTTATCATCTGTGAAACGGATATTCCTTAACGGTCAACTAACTCGTAATGGCGTCCGTAAAATTTACAAAGGGACAATTTCAACTTCACCACTTGGAACTCTTATTTTAATAGCTTCCTTGTGAGCAGCAAACCTCTATCAAGGAAATCATGATAGGAAATACAAGCCCTGGAATATCGTATCAACTGGGAGATGTATACTCCGTATGCAGACGCTGCTGGAATGTTGCTACATAGAAATGGAAAGTTCACAATTGGGCAGCTGAAATCATCTCTTTTGTCGTAAAGTTTTGTTTTCGACCGACTATCAATGTCAATTGCTAGACGTAAGTCAAGATATGAGGCTGATTTAACTGTATCTGTTGTATTCTTTTTCTCAAGTTCGATGGGATAGATGCGTTCAACATAGTCACCAAATTTTGAATTATTTAGTGAGAGAACATCATCCATATATTGTGTATGGTGTACTGTTGTTTGTCTGTTTGTCTTTTTCTTTTTTTAGCTATGGCGTTGTCAGTTTATTTTCGACTTGTGAGTTTAAATGTCCCTTTGGTATCCTTCGACTCTCTTTCATTTTATATGGTTATTCCCGGTAAGTGCACATTGTTTCACTTTTCAATGTTGACATGCTTAGTCCATGCGTATCCCATCTCCAGCTAAGTTCAAATTGAAGGTCGCACGAATGCGGATTCAAACGAAATTGAATTATTGACTTGCAAGCCTGTAATACATCAGCGATGTTTTTGTGATGATTTTGACAAATTGATCCAATTAAACTAACTGCTATATAGAGAGTAATTTTAAATAGAAAACGTGACCAGCAAGACAAGATCTACAGGTAAGTTATATGGCATAAAGCGTCATGTGACTCCTTGTAGGAGTTATTGCTCTTAAATGACGGTTTTTTATCTTTTTTTTTTCATTTTTGCATATTACTTAAAAACTATAATAGATAGAGAGAAACATAAAATAGCAAAAATAACCAGTGAGACGACCATTTTGCATTCCCTATTATTATTAATTTTCTTTTTATGGACAGTGATGTTCCATTGGCTCCATCTAGCGGTGTTTATATAACCCATCTCGTGTGCTATGCCGATCATCTTGTGTCCTGTAGTGACGTTATACATTTCAATGAACGTACTCTTTGTAACACTGGTAATATAATTAAGTCAGGGAATTCGTTACAACAAATTATATATACTTGAAACCTTTACTAAATTTTTCGGCTGTACCTAAACTACAAACGGGATATCACATCCTAATTTTTACGAGGATGTTGTTTTCAGAACCTGTAAATTTGGATACGATCCATGTAAGCGTTTTCATCCTTTGAATAAATTTATTGTTAAAGGTTATCAATCTAACATTGTAATAAGACATTTGAATAGTGTTTGTATCGGTACAATCATTTATTGTGTTATGAATTTTATACATTCAAACATGATAGCTAAATGTGTATTTCTAACACTTACGGTTCTACATTCTGTCGATACTTCTATTTTGGCATTACACAATGTCATGATTTTATAGACTGTACATTTCGTCTTTACACTTTTTCGTTGGTTTTGTACTGATTGATATTATGTCTTCGATACAGGTATTTTTATTAGTTATTGTTGGCTTTGAACTAGCTTTCAGTAACTGCGAGTACTCTCAGACCAGTACGTGTCTTTAGTGTTTTTGTTAGTTGTTTTAATTTGTGCTTTATATTGATCTGATGAGTAAAGTATCTTTCAACTGATTTGATGGTTTGTTCTTATGTTGTGCTATTATATCACTATCCCAGGTAACGGGAGGGTTGGGCGCCCGCAAGCATATCTTTCCACCCCATCACAATTTGTATATACCTGTCACAAGTCAAAAGCTTGTACTTCGGTAGTTATCGTTTGTTGTTGTATATCATATTTGCTTTTCGTGTTTTGCTCTCCTCACAAATCAAGTTGTTGGTTTTTCTCATTTGAATCGTTTTACATTTTGTCATGTCGGGGTCTTTTATACCTTGCTATGCGGTATGGATTTTGCCCCTTGTTGAAGGCTGTGACCTATAGTTGCTAACATTTACGTCAGTTTGGTCTCCGCGCCTGGTTCTCTTCCATGGACAGACAACTGTTTCTTTTGATTAAATGATAATGTTTGAATATGTTTCATTACCTTTTTGTCATTTTATATATATCATATTTTGGAAACAAATATTTTGTTTTTGTTTCCTCATATTTTCTTTTATGTTCTTTCTCTCCTTTCTTCCATCCTTTCTCATCTTACTCACATCACCTTTTTCAGTCCTTAGTCGGTCAATATAATCTGAACAGGTCCATATATAACGTATTGACTGAGTGAAATTCTTTGTCATATGTAAATAGTGTAAGTTTGAAAATTATATTGAATCGAAGTTTCTATTTATGGGAATGAAATATTGACTCGATGTTACTATTTTTTAATAACATGATGTTATTGTCATTTTCAAAATATTAACGTCAAGTCAATATGTCAAAATAGTGAAAAAAAAATACAAAATATATATTTTGAAACATGCATGTGACCAAATTACCCAATGAGAAACAAGGAAAAGCAAACCATGTGTAATATTTGAAGATATAGCGCCGAGTAAAAAGTAAAATCACAAAAATACTGAACTCCTAGGAAAATTCAAAAAGGAAAGTCCTCAATCAAATGGCAAAATGAAAAGTTCAAACACATCAAACGAATGGATAACAACTGTCATATTCCTGTAAAGCGACGCGAAACATTTTTTAAGCGATTTTATACTAAAAATGTATGAATATCGTGAAAAACATGATATTTCTTTCTTATTGGAGATCAAAAAAGGGGGCGTACTCCGCCCTTCACGCCCCTTTGACCCGCTAAAGAACATGAAGATGTGAATCATCTTCCAAAGACGCCTTCCGCTTTCACTTGTACTATTTAAAAACCATAGAAGAACTTTGATTTGAAATATTGACGAAATGGTAATGATGGTTATACTGATCCATATCCAACTAAGTAAGACATCATGATACTTCGAAGATGTATCAATCCACCATCTTTAGTACATTTGTCTCATAGAAATTGCATAGGCATTTCAATAAACTTTTTTCCGTCAATCTGACCCGTTATCTAACTTTTGCAGCTGTTTCCTTTGTCTTCGAACATAAATCTATCTTAAAATGTTGACCCTGACATTTTCAATGAAATTACGTCCCTGATCAATTGTAAATATTGCTCTTTTTCTCCTCCTCTGCCCCGTTGACTGTATTGTAAAACTAACAATCCTTCGTCTTCTTATACACCAACTTCACAAATTACTTAAACAAAGGTATAACTTTGCAGCTATATTGTAATATCTGAAACATGCGTCTAGCGCTGCATCCTATTTTTAACAGTTTAATTCGTTGGCAAATTACGTTCCTAATCGATTTAAAACCACGACTTTTTCGACGATGTCGGGATATTTCAAAATGGCGGCTGTGTCATTTGTCGTGTATATATTTTAGATGAACTTGCCTTTCTCATTATTTATTTGGCATATATCTGATGAAGGTTGTATGTTTTGTCCATGAGTTTTTTAAAAGTAGTGTTTTTCGATGCATACATGTTATAACATCTACATTAAAATATAAAACGGCACAGAGTTATATATCTACATGTGCATGTATGTCTCTAAGAAAGGTAAAACAACAGGTAAGCCTCACAAGTTAAGACATGTAGATAAAGGCTACATAACAAATTATTCAGGTATTACACAGGAAACGTATGCCATACCAAATACTTGTTATAATCATCCCGTGTACAAAGTTATTTCCAGGTTTTAAAGTAATATACGCGACATGTTTTGCCCCTGGAAATTCTTCCAAATATCAAATTCTATCACAACACTGGATAAAATATCAGAACAATAATAATGAAAAAAAAAATATTTACATTTTCAACATAATGTTTTTATATAAAATATATATCAATTGTAAAATACGTCGAATTTTTTATTTTCTGTTTGTAATATTTGTCATTTGATAAGAAAAAAAGATTAAGCCTAAACCCAATGCAAATGATTTAGGAATTATCTTTTTTGTAATTTTATTTGACCTTATCGACCCTTTACCAGCCGATCTGTACCGACAGAGTTATCGACCCTTATTGTGACTTCTATAGCTGCGTATGACGACAACTAGAGATTAATTTTTAAGTCGGGACATATAAAAAACAAAACAAACGGTTATTGGTGCCGATCAGCTCTCTACTGGATTCCCATTTTGTACATACCAATTAAGACTCATATACACAATATCAGTGTCATTTATTACTAAGCGAGTTTTGTTTTATTATATATAATGAACTATTTTATATGCTGTCATGTAGTTTATTTGTGAACAATATAAGGAAACTGTACGAACTAATTTAAGTAATTTTGTCCATTAGTTTTGTTCATCTACAATAAACTAATATTAAACTTAACTAAACTTTTCATGAAGTTTTAGTATCAAACTATCTTTATTTTAGGACAGTCCAAGTTATTCTCTTTCAATTCCGCCTGATATATGATGAAATTTTTAGTTCACTCAAAATATTATCGTGACATTAACGGGAAAAATAACATATGTAAATTTTGTAAATATTTCCTTTAGATTTGGCTATCACATCGACAGTTTCATAACAAACTACAAGTATTTAAGGAAGACATTTCTAGATATACAACACAAGTCTTAACCAACTGAATTTGCACAGAACTTAGCAAGTAAGGCAATTTTGAATACGTTTAAAGTAACGGAAGAGACAGTTCTACTTTATATGTTATAATGGTTCTCATAATCTTGCGTTTTAAACCATATTATTAACTATGTCAGTATCTTATTGGAGGAATGAAAAAGCATGTTTATATTTTTTGAAAATGAAAAATAAATCTTCTTTAATCCCTTAGAAATAAAAAAAAACTCCGTTTGTTACGGACACTGCAAAAATTGTCCGAGATATATGAAGCTCACAAGCATAACACTGAAGATATATTTTTTATAACCTAATACTTCAAAATAATTATTCGTTTGCATATACATGTATATCCAATTGATACCAAAACGAGGACCTTGGGTTTACAATTAGATTAAATACATCAAGGATTACTATCAGCTCAAATATTTTAAACGATCAACTGTTTCCATCAATATTGTTGATTTTTAATATTATGATGCTACAGTTAAGCAGGCATGATCATAGAATTTCAGCCATTATTAATTGCTGGAATAAAAATCTTTTAAATATCTTGGTTATGCACACTATATAATGCTTGTTGTGTCCGTTACTATATTTTCATTTGTACTGACTAAATTCTAATAAGAATGTACATTATTTTTATTATGTTAATTATAGTGTTTCAGGTCACAATATACAGAAAAGTAGCATATTGCTTATTTTTGCTATTCTACCTATGAGAATTCCAGCTGTTTAAGACACTTCACATTTTGACCATTTATTTAAGCGTCTTTAAAAATGTCAAAATTACAGTTTAACAGATTTTTAAGGTCAAACATGATTTATATGGAGTTCAACAGCAACACGTCTGAAAATACCAATGTACTAATAAAATACTAATCTCACTGGTATTTAGAAAGCTATTCAAATTAAATTTTGCTTGAGGTTAAAAAACAAAGAAATAAAATAACAAAAATACCGAACTCCAAGGGACATTCGAAACGGAAAGTCCCTTATCAAATGGCAAAATCAAAAGCTCAAACACATCAAACGAATGAAAAACAACTGTCATATTCCTGACTTGGTACAGGCATTTATTAATATAGAAAATGGCGGATTAAATGATTCAATGCCAAATATCAATAACAAAACCCTGGTTGCCAATTCAAATGAAAAAACATGCCAGAGCATCAACTGTGTTTTACAGAGCCTAACGCGGGGACATCGGATAGTCAAACTTATATTCAATCTCATGTACGTTTTCTACATTATTGTGGCATTTTAAATAAGAGCTAAGTGATTTTTTACCTTGTAAACAAAGTTGCAGCAGATAAAAGTGGCAAACACATGTGATCTTATCAGTTAGGAAAAGGATCGATGTAGTGCATAGTATTCCAGAAACATCTTAAAGGTCTTGGACGGTGAACAGCTAATTATTGACACCATTCATTTGGTTCGTCCATGATTGCCTTGATAGAGAACTGGTCCCTCCTGTGCCTTTAATATGCATTTGATATACATTATTTTACTTTTTTAAAAGTTATATGTTGTTCAACTGTCAGATTTACATTTGCAATGCCGGCATGTTATCATCATTTTTTATCCTTTTAGCAACACATACCGAAACAATTCAATTTTGAATAATGCATTTATAAACGATGTCTTTAAGCAACACCATTACCGAAATTAAGTATTTTAGCAGTTTTCGAAGTTTCAGCTTTTTAATAAAAAAAAAAGCCTCGGGCCCACTTATGAAGTTCGGCAAAGAAGTTACTGTTTCTTAAATAATGTATCAATACATAGGCTTATAATTAAATAAAACTTCCGGGAAAGACTTCCTTTTAATTAAACCCCTCTTATTGCCTGCATAAGCATAGACATATTTATAGGGGCTCAAAGAGAAGTCTTGTCCCGCACTCCCTTTCCACCGAAAAGTTTCAACAGTTTTCCCACTGTATACAAAAGATTGAACGAACCAAAGGGTTGCACAGTCATACGTTTGAACCGTACTCTATACTAAAATTTTCACTGAAACTTTTGCAAGTATGAGTCAGTTCAATATCCTGAGCGTATGTTTGATTTTAAATATTAGTGATTATATGGGAAATCCCAAATGATATATTTGGCACACATCCTTGTATGACCTAGTTTTGCACGTTTGTTGTGATTATTTAAAACGTTTCGTTATAAATATATTTCTTTCTTTTTTTGTTCTATTTTTAGAACTCTGTCTATTTCAGTTCTTGAGCAAGATATTTACATATACATACATAAGTACTTGTAAAACCAATTGCAAGTTAGGAAATTTTCAGACACAAATACATGAAACATGAAACATTTTGTAAATTTCATATTTTAGACTGAAATAAGCCAAATAATACTTTAAAACACGCTTGATTATCGAATTATTCATTTTGAAATGTATGAATGTTTTTAACGTATTAGGAATAACATTTCCAGATATGACGGTTTATTCCAAGCTAATGGCTTCTGATGAATATTTTAACACTTTCAATAGCGAAGATTACTCATGTGATCCGAAATGTGATCGTCTTTTAGGAGCTGAGGTTAACTGTTCGTTAAGGAACAACGAATCAGCTTGCAGAAGAAATCAAAATTCTCAATTAGAACTGTCTTTTAGAAATATTACATGTTTGTCAAACCAAAAAAATCTAAAATTTATTCCAGGAGAAGAGTTTAAAAATTTACATTCAGTAAAATATTGTAAAAGGAGGATTTATCGAGTTGTTCATCCGAGGGAACAATTGCAGATTTGTTTTCCTTTTGGAACTCATCCAGAGCGTTCTATCTCCTTTGACAAATGGCCTTCATCGGACTGGTGGCCAAACGAACTTATAAACGCCGGTTTTTTTTCGTTGGGTGATGGCTTGAAACTGCAGTGTCATTCTTGTGGAATTCGTACAGATTTGCGAGAATGGAGCACAACAGATAGAGCCCTAGATAAGCACGCATCACTTAATCCAGAATGTGAATTCCTAAACAGTTTTGGTTACTTTAACTCTCTAACAACATGTACACACGGTACAAAAAATGTGAAGCAAGAGAATGCCAGAGACGATGTCACCGATTCGCTTCGTTTCTCAAAGGATTTAAAAATTTTGAACGAAGTACCAATTTCACATACCTCCAAGAATAGCTGTTTACAGCCACCGAAAGGAGTCATTTTTAAGTATCAAAGCTATTCCGATCAGGATGTTCGCATGGAAAGTTTCAATAAATGGAGTTTTGGAAAAAAGCAAAATCCCAAAGCTTTGTCAGTGAGTGGATATTTCTATACTGGAGAGGGTGATATTGTTCGTTGTTTCTGTTGTGACTTGGGATTGGCTGAATGGGACGAATCAGATGATCCATGGACAGAACACGCACGACACAGTCCGAAATGTTGGTTTCTTCTCCATGAGAAGGGGAAAGATTTTATAGAAAAGATCCAGTCTGAATGGCGTAAGGTATGCATTATAAAGACATGTTGACGTTAAGAACGGTTTTTGTATGTAAAATGAATTAATATTTTAGGTTCTACAGTTTTGTCTTGTTTGACATAATATATTTCACGGCTTACTGAATATTTCTGTCACAACACTTAACTATAGACTGATTGAAAGGGAAGAATGGTTTAAATTTTTCCTATGATTAAACCTTTTAAATAATTTAGTAAAAGATATGCACTACAAGTCATATTACTTCAAAGTAAAATATAATATTTGTGAAAGTCTATAAAGTTTTTTGCAAGAAAGTAAATGTCTAGTAGAAACTGACCAAATTTGACCCAAAACAAAAGATGCAATTACCTTTTACAGATATATAATCCTAAACATGCAGCATATGATGACAAACTATCTAGAATGGCTACCTTTGAAGGAGTTTGGCGGGGTGATATTGAACAGACAGCAGAGGTTCTGGCTGATTCCGGTTTCTTTTATGAAGGTAATTCCTAATTAGATTTCTAGTGATAGTTGATATAAAAATTAGGAGATGTGGTATGATTGCCAATGAGACAACTATCCACCAAAGTTCAAATGAAGTGGATGTAAGCAATTATAGGCAACCGTACGGCCTTCAACAATGAGAAAAACACATGTAGCGTATAGTCGGCTATAAAAGGCCCACACATGAAATATATGAAACAATTCAATTGAGAAAACTAAAGGCCTTATTTAAAACAAAACAATTTAGAAAAACAAGTATGCCAGACATGAACCAACGACAACCGCTGAACTACAGGCACCTAAAGTATGTGGCGGCGTTAAACATGTTTGTGAGCGCTCAACCCCCCCCCCCCCCCCTAACCTGGGACAGTGGCAGGATATTTATTTATCCCTAACAACAAAACGACACAAAGTACATATCTGAGAGTACTCGCAGATACTGACAGCTAGTTCAAAACCAATAACAACTAATAACAGAAATCATGTATCTAAGCCTGTTACACAATTCTCTCTCTCTCTCTCTCTCTCTCTCTCTCTCTCTCTCTCTCTCTCTCTCTCTCTCTCTCTCTCTCTCTCTCTCTCTCATGTATTAGTTAGGAATACAAAAATATGTTACGCCACAAATATAAACACCCCTTCTCCCCCCAAAAAAGAATAAAAATGAATAAATAAATAAAATTAAAAAAATGATATAAAGTTTAAATCTATTTTAAAATACAAAACGACAAACAGTGTTATTACCTAGCTGATGTCTTTAAAGACTTAACCTAGCTAGAAGTCAATCACCTTGTAACACCTACCTTGTGATAGACAAATTACTAAGCTGACAACGAACCGTATGTTCATTTCGAAACTTATTTCTCTTCAGTGATGCTAGGTACCTAATATTGAAACAACTATCCCAAATAACTACACCCTTTAATGGCACCTTAAAATGGTGCCAAAGCATGATAAAGAGGCAACTTGTTTGTACCCAAAACAAATAAATCACCATTAAAGATTAACCACGAATAAAGTGTATGTAATCAGGTTTCGTGTAATTTGATATAAAAATCTTGACTAATCTAAATTGTTCCAATTTAGTTTGACATTTCAGAACATGTGCCTTTGCATTTAAGACGCCTTCAATGTTACTTTTACATTGAACTGAAAAAGGCTCAACTATCTAGTGTACTTTCTTCTATAGGCGAAGAAGACACTGTACGTTGTCATTATTGTGATGGAGGACTACGTAACTGGGAACCAGGAGACATCCCATGGGAGGAGCATGCGCGATGGTTTCCATTCTGTAAATTTGTCATCAAAATGAAAGGCAGAGAATATATAGACGAAATTAAAGCTAAATATGAGGTCAGAATTAACATATGATCAACATAAAAAAATGTCCCTGTAGTTTGTGGTCAGCTTTAGTACAGTGATAATGTCAGGGAAATAATTCAAAGATGCCTTACTATGCTAGCGGTTTTTTTCTTAGTAAAAGGAAGATATATTTTGACGAAAATTCAAATCAGCTTAAAATGTTAGAATTAGATTGGTTTCTGTTTCCGATTATTTACATGTTACTATATTTACACAGGAAACAAAAATGACTTTTTGAAGCACAGTATGAATGATGTTCCACTTATAGTTTATTTTACTTAGACATACAGTTAGTCATATTATTTCCCAATTGTCAAGTTTAAAATATAAGTAATAGTTTTACTATTGTCAATTTCTTGGTAGACTGCCGCTCAAAAAGAAACACAGGAACCCAATACTGAAACTTGTAAGTCATTTATCATATATATCATATATAATTTTTCGTTATTTTCATCGTTGGGTTGATGACTCGTTTTTTCGTTTGTCCCAAGTTTCCTTTTATTGCGATTTCCAGTATTTATCTCATGACGATTTTCAATTGACTCGCGCAACATCATTACTTTGGACGAAACCTCAAATCTCCGTCCATAGAATCCTAAAGCGACCATCCAAGAATAATAAATCAATTGCAGCAGACAACACCCACATTTGATACTACTTATCATGACAGTAGCTTGTTTATTTTAATAACCTGAATAGTTATAGATTACTCAAGCAATCGATGGTTTGATGCTTGTGAAAGTTAATCCTGTAACAATCAGGATTTCTATATTTTCATATAAAAAGCTGGATTATGAAATGATTAACATATAATAATAAGTTTGTAATATATGTTTGGAGAAAGTTAAAGCCAACACAATGTCATATTTCTGTTGATTTAAAAACGATTTAGTAATGTTTGATGAATGGTAGTTTATATATAGACTAATATACATAAAGGGGATGTTGCACGATTACCACGTTCAACCGAAGTCCAAATGATAACTACAGGTCACTGTACTTCCTTCAGCAATGAGCAGAACAAATACCGCATAGAAAGCTTTTAAATCCTAAGATGACACAATACGAAACAGACAAAACTAACGATTTGATTTATACTGACATAATAAACGGAAGCTTTTATGACAAACTGTAACCAACGACAATAGCTGAATGGGTTACCTTCTACTAGCTTGGGAAAGAAACATGAAGAATCCATGTTATAACATCAAAACACAATAATATATTGTTCAAATCAGTTGAAAAGGGGCCGACTCATCAGATTTCAGCTAGCCACAAAATTATGTACCACAAACGTTAAGACAAAGGATAAAAAGTATAGATCTACGAGTACTCACAGGTACTGAAAGCCGGTTCAAAGCCCAAATTGTACAAATGAATAAACGATGTTTTTTTTCAGATTTAAATATCAATCAGTACTCATCCAACGAATAAAATATACATTCCATGAAAGCTTGTTGTCTGTCTTTTGCAGCAATTCGAAACGGAGCGATCGTCAAATCTATTCTTGATATGGGATTTCAAATGAAAGATATTATATACGCAGCTAATGAGTACACAAAACATGAAGGTAGCCAAAATATTTATATATACACAGAGAATATTTTATGGCTTTTTCAATATCACATCCGTATCAACCCGAGACATCAATATAATCCCAAGAGCTCTGCTCTGGATTATATTGGTTGGGGGTTGATACGGTGTGTGATATTGAAAAAGCCATATCATATAGAATTTATTATAAATAGATGGTTTTTTCTTTTCACGTGACATGACGTAATATAAATATATATTTTTATTATATAGCCACAACAATCCCATGACATCAAACAAGGAAAAATACAGTTTATATAATTATTAGCATGTCACGTATTTTAGTGAACGTCGATGGGACACAAATTCAACTTTATATTCACATAAAAATATATACCCTGTCGGCGCACCCGGTCTCGTTTCGTTTTGAGTTCACACTATTCTCTCAATTTGTTTTGCTGTAAGCGTAAAATCGTTAACGGAGAGAAAAAGCTCATACTGTACAATAAATTTGAGGCAACAGTAGTTTAGCAACGGTGTTAAAATTTAGGAGATACAAATCAATGTGAAAACAAAATGTTAGGGAATCGCATAAACTCCAAAGTGTGTAGGTAAAGGTAGTACCTTTAGTAAGCTTGCTTGCTAGCTGAACCATGAAATCATTATTAACTACGGTACTACCATCCTTTTGGCGGAGTCAATAATTCAACAGAGAACCAATCAAAAGTAAGGCAGTATATAACCATTTACAAGTCAGTTTAAAAAATATATGTTTTCAATCTTAATTTAAAATCTAGTGTCAATTATAACCTAATTCACAAGCATGGTGTAGGTGTGTTTGATTTGTCAATTTCATTTTAATTAATTACCTTTGTTCATTTAAAACTAGACAATTTACATGTGTATTTCTATACTTTGAGTGACATGCATTTTTATTCTGAAAAAAACACATTCCCGGATTTTCATGTGCATTTTTTTCATCTCTGCAAAAGATGATAAAATAAAAATCTTAATTTTATTTCATACTGTCCACTAAGATACACTGTTTAAATCACCTATGTTTGTGTGTTATTTATTGTCCCGCTATTGTTCATATCAATCAAAACAATACAATGCCATTGATTCATGAGCATGGTGAACGAATCTCAAAGATTTTACCCAACTAATTTTGCTTTTACGACTACTGTAGCACTCTCCGCGAAAAAAACCCCACACACATCAAAATCAGAGGTAATGATGCTTTCACAATGGTTATATACTGTTCCTACTTTTGATTGGTTCTCTGTTATACTATTGACTCCGCCCAAAGGCGTGTAGTATCTGAGCTAATAATCATTTCATGGTTCAGCTAGCAAGCAAGCTAAACAAAGATGCTACCTTTAACTTACACACCCAAGTCCATGAGCTGTAAGCATAGAATCAATCAAGTCTTATAGGTTTTCAACATATGTATGGAGGAAAAACATCGGACACCTTCTAAAAATGTTTACTTAACATTTAGCAAAAGTGAAAATATATATAATAAAACAGAAGTTCATTCCCTATTTTCCTACAAATCTTTGAATACTGGTCCATGCCATCACAATAACACAATACTGTATGAAAAGGTAATTGTTGAGGGAGGGGGGGGGGCACTTTTATTAGTCATTGTAGAATAGTTGGCGATTTCTACTGCATTGAGGGATTTGCATGTAACAGGAACTATTAGTGTATCGATTTAAACAAAAAACACCATTGTAAACCAGAAGAAATAAAATAAATAATTTGACATTGCAATAATTTGTCCCTCCTTAGTTTCATATGAATTCAGAGTACAATATCAACAAAGCCTATCCAAGTGTGAGCAACACCTAAGTAGTTCTACATTTAAATTGAGAGTTAGAAAAATCATGACGAAACAAAATAAACTGAGCAATTCAAAGTCTGATAATTTCATGACTGAGATCGAAACTGGGTGCATTTACTTTGTACAAGTTTTTTATAGATAGAAAACATGTGACTCTTCTTGTTGTTTACATAATCATATATTATTTCAGACATGTTTACAACTATATTTTGTTTTGAAATCGTTGTAGGAAACATTCATTACAATGCTGAAGACCTGTTAAGAATTTTAATAGATAGACATGAAACAGAAAAGTTAAAACAACAGTTTGGAGGTAAATTATCACAAATTTCTTTCAAAATATTTGATTTCAGCACTCCTTTAAAAAGATCTATGATTTAAAAAAAAAATGTATAGTTTGTGAACACCCTGGAAAAATTGAATACTCAATCAGAAGAAATTTCCGTTTTATTGACGCAAAATTGACTATTTTCTTATTACCGACTTTTAACTCCGGATTATATAATTTTGGACAGGTTAACTACCTTGCAGTAGGACATTCTGGTACTCGGTCAAGTAAGAGCAACTTGGAGAAGCAAAATCAAGCATAATATCGGTGCAATTTGACGCCAAACTTTGAATTACTTTAGGGAACATAATGTATTTAGCGGAGCGTTATGAAATAATGCAAGCCTCTTTTAATTCTTCATGAGAAACTTCTTTACGAATATGATTACATAGCAATTGAAAACAGCTATATTGTTTTCTTGTTATATTTGAACTTGTACTAGTATTTTAATCGTTGCTGTATAACGTTTTAAAAAGGAAACATTTCCTCATTTCGTTTTATTTAAATTGATACTTTCCTATATTACAGCATTGTCAATCGATGAAAATCAAAACAAAGAAGGTACGTTAATCGTTAATATATGGCTGAAAAGTCACCTGTACACACTATAAATAAACGTGTAAAATATAGAAAAAGATAACAGACAAACAATCAAGCAAGCAAATACATATATAACTAAATATGGACAATGCTCCCCCCCACCCCCGTTTCTGCTCTGCCATATGCATGAGTATGGTTCCACATATTTTAGATTTGACAAACAGTGATGTTGGCATTTAACTTTAAATTGTTACGCTGTCTGTTAGACACAAATGATGCCCCTACCTGACCATAGGAAAGCACACCTCCATTATGTGTATGAACATCCTACATTAAAGCTGTAGCTCCAACACTGTAGGAGGAGATAGCCGGACAAACCTTGATCTCTTTATGCAGCTAGTACCAAAAAAAAAAAAGACTAAGTCGAACTACCTGTCATTTTCAGAGTATTTAAAAGAAATCAAAATCATGTGGCCATGCACACCTCCATTATGTTTATGAACATCCTACAACATATTAAAGTTGTACCTCCAAAACTGTAGGATGAGATAGCTGGACAAACAATGTATCCTAATTCTAATGGACGGACGGACGGACGGACGGACGGACAAACGGACAGACGAACGGACAGGGGTAAATTAATATGCCTCTTGCCATTTTGTCGCAGGGGCATAATAAAAGGACAACCGTCAATTTGAAAACGCACTTATAGCATGAGAACAACATACATTGAAGGAGCTTTTCAGTAAAATTTGAAACTCATTCGCAATACTACAAGGCAATACAATTAACAGAAACGAAACCTAATGGATGTAAAAAAAAAAAAAAAAACACTCCAAGCAACAGAACCAAAACAAAATAATATAGATGACTTTAAATTTACATTAATCACAACACAACAAAACAAAACAAAAGTAATAAACTACAACAAAAATTCAACAATGAAATAATACAACCGACCAACCGAAACAATAGAAATGTAATTAGCACTAAACTGAGCCAAACAAATGAGATAAATGGGAAAAACCGAATGCAGTACAGCAGGTTATCCGAAACAGTAACGAGGAACTTTAAAAAATATATAAGGAACAGTTTAAGATATAATATTGACATCAACATTGATACGATTATTAAGGATTAATTCTATGAGTGAATTGGTCATTTCATACTATACCAAAGAACTTTTGTCATAGTGGTACATATCATGGTCTTTCCAAGACAGAGTTAGCTTTTCTGTGCATTAAAACGAGTCCCCACGTCTGACATAAGTAACAAAAGCAAAAACAATTTTGACCAGTGTGATATCTACAATTTAATCAGACCAAAAACTCAGACACTTTGTTAAGTTAACGACAAGAAACAACATACATCTGATATTATTAACGAGTTCACGCGGAACAATTTCAAATGAATATAAAAGAAACGAACACAAAACAACTTTAATTTACTAAGATTCTCGATATTAGTCAATAGTTAAATTTGTTAAACCTTTTATGACAGCAGTTGAATACAGATGGACAAAAATAGAGAAAAAAATCTAAACAAACACAAGCATAGAGTATAAATATATATATCTGTGGAGCAATTTTTATTCTGTACTAGTCAACAAGAAACAAAAGATCCGAGACAATGCATGTTCAATATCAAATGAAATTTGATATACGGGACTCAGATAAAACATTGCACAATTAGTCTAATGTTTGAAGAGTGTTGTTTTCTCAGCAACACCATCATTGTAATGCAAATACAAACACTTTTTTTTGCGCAATTATTGATTTTAATTTTGTCTTTTTTTCACTCAAAAATGTGTTTAAAATTGAGACATGAAATATAATTAAATTGCCATCAATTTGTGCAAATTAAGTTGACCCTTTTGTGCATTGAGACAACGATATATATTAATCATCTCCTACGTGCTGTCGATACGTATATTTGGCATTACAAAAGATCATGTTTTCTCTTACTGTTAATCACGTCTTGACTTTAAATCTATTTGATGTTGGATGTGAACTGATTGACATTTAATCTTAGATACATACTATTTTTATTAGTTGTTATATATTTTGAACTAGCTTTCATTAACTGTGCGTACTCTTAGATCTGTACTTTGTGTCTCTAGTGTTTTGGTTGTTTTTGCTTTGTATCGATATGAAAAGTTAAGGCCTTTTTAACTGATTTTTATAGTTTGTTCTTATGTTGTGCTGTTACACAACTGTCCCAGGTTAAGGCAGGGTTGAGCGCCCTCAAACATGCTTAACCCCGCTACATTATGTAGTATGTGCCTGTCCCAAATCAGGAGCCTGTAATTTAGTGGTTGTAGTTTGTTGCTGTATATCATATTCGTGTTTCGTTTATTGATTAGTACCGACACCGTGCAAGAACCTAATGGGTAGTCAAGGTCGTAACCCCCCACCTCTCCCCCTTTTCATCGTCATATTGTTTTGTAAATAAATAAGACTGTTTTTTCGTTTAAATTGTTTTGGGGGCTTCAAGTTGCTATTTTGCTTATTGTTAAAGGCCAATAAGTGACCCCTATTTCTTAAAATCAGCGTCATTTGATCTCTGGTAGGGAATTGTCTCATTGGCAATCATACCATATCTTTTTATATACTTGTATTCTTTTTTTGAATAATTTGCGTGGAATGTTTTCATTGGAAACTGTTTTTCCTTTTTGTAATATTTTCTGATAAATTTGGCCTTAAACTTGAATTTGTTACTTTTGTTAAACTGGTATATAGTTGAACATGACTTTACGACTAGCAATACAAAAGCAGGGAAAATTGATAAAAGTATGAATGATGAAATTTACATTTCTTCCAAAATAGTATGTTTGTACCAGCGGTATGAAAATCATTTCCAGTTTCACTTTTATCAGAAATAAAAAATTAAAACAATTATTAGAATTTTTTGTATTCGGTATTAGTATTAAAACATTGATTTGTACATACATCAGGCCGTTAGTTTTCTTGTTTGAACTGGTTTTCATTTGTCATTGCGGGGCCCTTTTATATTGTGTTGTTATGTTGTGTTGGTTTTCTATGTTGTGTTTTGTGTACTGTTCTTTGTCTGTTGTCTTTTTCTTATTATCCATGGTGTTGTCAGTTTATTTTTGACTTATGAGTTTGAATGTTCCTTTGGTATCCTTCGCCTTTCTATTTATAGCGCACTATGTGGTGTGGATTTTGCTCATTATTGAAGGCTGTACGGTGACCTACAGTTGTTAACTTCTATGTCATTTGATCTCTGTTAGGAGTGTTGTCTCATTGGCATTTTATACCGCATCTTCTTATTTTTATTATAAGAGATTGAGCAGGATTTTTATAGAATTCAAACATCAAGATAAAATGAAAATTCCTTATAAAATGAATTAACATCAAAACTTCTTATAGATCCAGAGAAAGTCAGAGAAGTCAACAAAGAGCTGAAGAAAAACATGATGTGCATTAGATGTGAAAAAAATACCAAGTCAATATTGTTTGTTGAGTGTGGACACAGAGTAACTTGTGAAACCTGTGCGAACGATGTAGATTTTTGTCCATACTGCGACGTTAAAATCAAAACCAGATTGAAAACCTATCTTTCATAGCATTAAATAATAATTAGTTATAATCTTAGGTTTAATAAATTTATATCAATTGTTAGAACAAAATTCAGTCAGAGTTTGTATACAGATACAAAATAAATTCCTTATATATAACTCCATCTAATAGTTGTTCATCACATCAAACATGGTTGGAAATTAAAAAAAGTATCATATAATATTTACATACTTTTAATTGAAAATGTAAATTTATATAGAAAATAATGGATGAACTGTAATTTGAAAAATCAGTATCTTTTATGCATTATTATGTTAACAAATGTTACAATGTACTTTGTAAAGTATTTAATACATACACAAATATCAAATATACATGTCACTTATCTTTCCTAAGCTAAATATAGAAAAATACTGATAGCATTAATTTTGTAAAAAACATACTTCTTAAAGACAAAAATATTAATGAACTCTCAGTCGGGCAATTCCAGTGCATATCTAAAAGGGATGCTTATAAAATAACATGTAGTATCTTTATGGTAATGTTTAAACAAAGCCCCGCAACACTAATCATAAACTGTATTTTCACTGATGGTGAATAACAAAAATATGTTAGATAAATTTCATATAACTCCCTGAATGTATCCACAGATCTGTCTAAGTGTAAAATCTTTATGTCATTAAAACTCTATCTAAGAAGTATTGAAGTCACTAGAAAATGCGCCCGATGTAGTGATTGATGACGAAAACGACACTTCCTGTCCTGTAGTGTGAGGAAAAGGCGGTAACGTACACGGATGATATGTTTCAATGCGTAAACTGCAACCACAAAATGTCAACTTAACGCAATTACCATACACTACATGGCTACATGGAATCAATACATGTGTGATTAATTTTTGTCTGCAAATGTAAAATTTTAACTTCGACTTCAGCTCCATGTTTTCTTTTTTCAGTTCCAGTACCCCTAAAATAAGAGTTACATAGTACCATATATGAGTAGTTAAAAAATTACAAAATGCTTATCATACAGAACTAATACAAGTTATAAGCTCCAAACGATATTATAGAAAAATTCAGATCGAATAATCACGTCCATAATAAATGTGCAAATGCACCTGTCTTATGCTGAAGACCTTATCTTAATGTTAATTGTTAGATTGTTGTTTCATTTAACATTATTATCTTATTTCCTTTTATACATACTTATTTTCCTTGAAAGTCTAAATGTAGCATTATATATACATTACACTTAAATGATATGTTGTCAAATTACCAATGATGCAATTATCGACCTTTGGACCAAAAGACAAGGATATGAACAAGTATAGGTTAGGCGTTGGTCCTACTTTGACATCACTTATGTATAATATCTGTTGATCTATAAAAGTAAATTCATTCTTGTATGATAACATTTGATAGTTTATATGATTTAGCAAAATATGCCAGTTATAATTTACATATGCAATACACTTCAGCATTACTTTTGATCAGTATTTTAATTTTCAAATGTTCTTATTTGAAAAAATTGATAGGATTTTTATACTAACGTGAGTGTGTAATTTCGTAGGGCGAAGCATTGTCAATCCTATTGCACTGGTTGGACAGTTCCCCAACTGATCTTGATTGGCTGGCTAAGTTATCTGTGGCATGTATGGGTTTGGAGTCAAGCTCATCATTTCTTGTCATTGATTGTGTCGTGCCTCCAACTATATCACTAGTCCACGTTATTGCCATTCCTGCAGAAATATAAATATAATTTCATTTTATTTATGAATTTTTTATGTTATTTACTTCTTCTGTAAAGAAAAAAGATTCTTGGGAATATTTTTTTCAAACCCGATGTTAGTATTAGACATGATGGAGTTTTTTTTTTGTTCACCTATACGTGTACTGGATAGTGATTAACCCAAGAATATGTAACAAAGAACAGATATTGCTTAGGAAACTCTCTCAGGCAAAGTTGGCCTATAATGGATTTTGCTAATCCTTTTGGGTGCATATTGGTCAGATAGTTCTCCGTGTGTTGATGTACTTGTACATCATTGGCTTTCAAATATGGTGTGTTAGCGTTCCCGGTGAGGGTAAATCCAGAAAAGCACTTCAGACGCACACTATTTACAAAGTGTTAATCCTATATAGCAACACTACAAGGTACATTAACATCATCTATGGCACACATAATGAGATGGTCGTTGATTGATTAATTATTGGGTGTTTAACGTCCAGTTACAAATATTTCATACGTTTTCAGGACGGGACCACAAAAAAATAATAATAACCAAATTAGGTCCTGTAATAGAGGTCGTCCGGGATGAAGGTTAGGGAAATTTGGACTACAACTGGAAAATGAGGATATATTGAATAGGGACATAAAGTGTGCTTTTCTAACAGGCCCCCTCAAAGAACCTACGGACCCCTCAAAGAGTTTTCGCAAGCGTTCTTAAAATGCTCAGAGCGTGGCACTCTATTTACATGAGGCATCGGATTTAAACGCTCTATTCTGACTGGACGTGGCTGCGAAGTTGTACATCCCGGACAGCCAAACGGTCCCCTCCTATTTGACAACGTTTGTTTTCCCCAGTCACCCTCGGAGGAGATGGTTGGTGATGATAAAACCACGAAAACCAAATATATACCTTTACATTAAGTTAAAAGAATCTAAAAATGACTCTTAGCTTTTTCAATGACATCTGGCATTTTCTTTGAGGAGAACAACGGTGCTTATCTGCCTAAGTTTAAGTTAATGAAAATAAAGCATTAAAGAAATATGGTCACTGCATTTATTTCATGAAAGGGTCTTTTTCAAATGTCTCTTCATTTTGACGACAACTCACAATGATAGTTTCTCGTGTGTTCTTTGTGGTTTTTACTACATTATGCCATATATCTGAATATTAAATTAGTTTTAAATGTTTACACAAAACGATGTTGAATAAAACACTTCAATAATTTTCTTTTCGTTAAACTGAATACGAAAGAAACTCTTAACAATATTATTGTAAAGGGACAGAGAGCTATGTGTTCCGATTTTTGAATTTTAGTTCATTTATATGTTTTGGAGTTTAGTATGACGTCCATTTTCACTTAACTAGTACACATTTTTGTTTAGGGGCCAGCTGAAGCCCGCCTCCGGGTGCGGGAATTTCTCGCCGTGTTGAAGACCCATTGGAGGCCTTCGGCTGTTTTCTACTCTTTGGTCGGGTTGTTGTCTCTTTGACACGTTCCCGATTCCATTCTCAATTTTATATTGTACAAATACTTATTTTAAGAATAAATAACTTACTACTTAGCAACGAGTTGACAAAAATTCCTGATTATAAGTTTCAAAACACCATGTACTTTAATTCCATCCAAGTACAGAAATGTGTTCACTGAATACTTTATAATATTAAGTTGTTGGTTAACGGAAATAAGAACAGTCATCGAGCTAACATCAGTTTGAAATGAATAATATATTTGGTTAACGCAACGGAAGTGCATTGCTATAAATGGCCGATTTGGTTAACACAAATTCAAGAAAGAGAGAAATAGGAATTTACTTTATACATTACTTACATATTTACCATTTGAACTTAAAAAGTAGAAAAAGTACAACAACAATTTAAATGTTTAATCCGCGATTCCAGTAACAGTCTTAATCCAAAACACCCTATGGAAAAATACAAGTTCATTTCCGAGTATTTTGTCTTGAACTCCACCTATTTGTTAACCATGTTTTACTTTTCGAAAAAAACCCCGGAAATAATAGTTTAGAGCACGAAATCGCATAGAATTCCAGCATCTTGCATTAGAAAAGTAGAGATGGGAGGGTTATTTCTGGATTTGTTAAATGAGATGAGCATGAAATACACACTAGTATTCCTTGCATTATATACATTATAGTCTTATACAAACTTCTGACATCTTGTGAACATAAAATCAAGCTGTCAATGTCTAAAAATGATTTCAAAAAATATTTTTTATAGATTGTGCAAACGTTTTAATTTATTCGAAATGATTGAGGAGACAGTCTTTACAAAATTAAAATTTTAAGGTTTTGAATTCCGATATACATAAATTCATCAATGGAATACTATAGCTTGAAAATCTATATTAAGTGTTGAGTAATATTTTTATTTTATTGATATGTGTAAAATGTGCAATTGTACAATCGTTAATATCTACATAAACTCGTTGATATTCAATTGTAGTCGGTTTTTATAATTTTTCTAAACAGACAAAGTGGTAATGTTTGTGACAACTTTAATCTGTATAACACATGTTTTTCCTGTATCAACCAAAGCGATGAAGTAAAAGATACCCAAAATCCCTTTTTTTATTCTGTAACATAATAAAGGACCTTTTATTGATATAATGTAAAACCTAAGAGTTATATTTTAAACGGAATATGATACTTATTGTAGTCATGGTACTACGGCTAGTAGGGGTGTAGCTATTTTAATTAAAAAATCACTAAGCTACGAACTAATAAATAAATTTATTGATAGTGACGGAAGATTAGTACTTATCAACGTGCAGATAAATAACTCAATTTTTACATTTATTAGTGTATATGCACCTAACTGTAAATCATCTAGAAATTCTTTTTTCAAAAAGATCAGTGAAAATTTGAAGGAACACGGTCTAGGAATACCAATACTTGGAGGCGATTTTAATGAGACAATTAAACCAATTGATAGAAAATCTATACGTCCATGTAAATTTACTCAACCCGTAAACGGTTTAAAAAACTTGATTAAATCTAACAAACTGTCAGATGTTTGGAGAAACTTAAATGAAAGTAAACAGCAATTCACATGGAGAAGAAGAGATAGGTCACAAGCTAGTAGGATTGACATGATTTTTATGGGGTCAGATTTTTTACCTCTTGTAGAATTTTGTAAAATCAAACCGGCTGTTATTCGGTCTACTGACCACCAAAGTGTATTTCTAAAATTTAAGCCAGGGGTATCAGAAAGGGGCAATGGGTATTGGAAAATAAATAATTCAGTTTTGCAAGATAAAGATTACCAAGAACTGATTAATAATTTGATAGATAAATATATTTTCGAAAAGGAAACACTAGATTGTAGATTATTATGGGATGGTTTTAAAATTGCGGTAAGGGAAGTAACCACAAATTATTGTAAAAATAAAGCAAAGTTAACCAAGGGGCGAAGATATACTTTGGAAAAGGACTTGGAAGAAAAAATTAAATTAATGGACGAGACAACTAT